TGTAAATGTGTGACAGTTGTGTGTGCTGCTGTAGTACATGGGTGGTGTAAATGTGTGACATTTGTGTGTGCTGCTGTAGTACATGTGTGGTGTAAATGTGTGACATTTGTGTGTGCTGCTGTAGTACATGTGTGGTGTAAATGTGTGACAGTTGTGTGTGCAGCTGTAGTACATGTGTGGTGTAAATGTGTGACAGTTGTGTGTGCATCTGTAGTACATGAGTGGTGTAAATGTGTGTCAGTTGTGTGTGCAGCTGTAATACATGTGTGGTGTTAATGTATGTGCGATTCTAATACAGCTCTTCTCTCATTTTTTAGTTTTAAAATGTCTTCAATCATTAATTTCCACCAGCCTATTAACGTTGTCAAAAACATGCTTACTTCCATCAAAGCACAGTACTCGTGGGCAGATCCATGACAGAGACAAGTCTAATCCTAAACACAACGCAACAACCACTGTCGGAGCATCACGACAGTTTTTGATGTTATTTACAACAAACAATATGGCATTCACATAGAAGATTGTGGCTTGCATTAACAAGCCCCGTCTCCTACATGCCCCCACAGAACCGTGCCGGCCTGACGGCTGTGACCAGGGTCCGAACCAACTGCCTAGTTTACAATTTCCGTCTCCTACATGCCCCTACAGAACCGTGTCGGCCTAACAGCTGTGACCAGGGTCCGAACCAACTGCCTCCCTTACAAGCTCCTTCCCAAGCTTCTGTAGCTTACACTGTGACTGCTGTACTACCGCATGGCTCTGGTCAATTTGAAAGGACAAACTATGTCACCTCTCCAGACAAACCCGTCACTAACTACCTCGTTCTCACGTCGCTAAATACCTGAATCAGTGCTGGTATAACAATCATTATAACCTGCTTTTCACTAACACACAGAATAAATGTATGAATGAACACTGAACCAAACCCTATGCCATCTGTCGCTATAATAATAAGAAAAACTCCACAGGGAAGCATGCACAGCAGGGGTCAACCGATCATCTGTAGAAAGACCCCTTGTCGACGATTGTTTCGACCCATTACTTCCTATACAGTCTCGGAAGGCGGGCGGACCTGGTTCATGACGCCCCTTCTCGATCTTCACCTGCTGCAGTTTATCGGACGTTCGGACAGGGACAAGACGAAATGGTGACTTTTCAATAGGTATCCTAAGATTTAGTGTTATATATATTGTCGCTGCGGTGGCAATTTAACCGACTATCTTCACGACCAGAGTGACATGCGTACGGCTGGTTCATCGGGCAGTTGGTAAATTTTGGAAACTGGCAGAGAGTCACTGGCAGAGAGGCACTGGCAGATCAGCACAGGCAGAGAGGCACTGGCAGAGAGACACTGGCAGAGAGGCACTGGCAGATCAGCACAGGCAGAGAGGCACTGGCAGAGAGACACTGGCAGAGAGGCACTGGCAGAAAGACACTGGCATAGAGGCACTGGCAGAGAGACACTGGTAGAGAGACACTGGCAGAGAGACACTGGCAGAGAGACACTGGCAGACATTTATCGGACCATTTGGCTTGAATGATAAAAAGCTCTTTATAACTAGACGTTTGGACCAGTCTACCGAGGCCCAGCATACTCACGACAGTCTGCTTAGCTCTGCAAAGAGAGCATGTCGGGTCGGAGGTCGCATGCCCCTTAACCATGCTGGCGACAAAGTGTAACACATCGTCCTACGACAAAGTTCAGCCGCAGCAGTGCCATTCGTCATATCTCATCCAATGTGAGTATTCGTGGCAAGGGGCTCTCGAAGCCATCCACTGGTTATGTCTTCAGTCATCAAGTTTCTGCAGCCTGTGAACTTCTGCCGTGTGGTGAATACTACTGCAGCCTCACTGATTCAAGTTTTCGATGCTTGTTCACATATTTAAATATCATTTTTGAATCAGACAATGTGTCAGATCCTCACTGATTTCTTAATCGAAACTGTCTTTAACGCCCTCATTCTTTAGTACACGCACATCTAATAAATACGCATTTTATAAATAATGTTAGAAATAAATATTCTTGGATTGGGTAGTGTCTGTCACTGTCTGTCATGATTGAAAGCTCCTATTTATATATCAGCATTCTTCTCTACAGCATCAACACAAGCCAACATGTCCGTGAGAGCAGTTCGTGTCACCGCCTTAGGTGGACCAGAGGTTCTCAAGCTGGAGACCATCCCTAAACCAACACCAAAACAGGGAGAGGTAACTGCGACTGCGCAATCATCATCTGTTTGTGGCGTTGTCCCATGGATGGGGATTGTCTCATAAATAGTTATGTATAGAACTATGAGTAGAGGTGGCGTTGTCCGAGATATGGAGGTTTGTTTTATAAAAAGTCATGTATAGAACTATGAGTAGAGGTGGCGTTGTCCGAGATATGGAGGTTTGTTTTATAAAAAGTCATGTATAGAACTATGAGTAGAGGTGGCGTTGTCCGAGAGATGAGGGTTCTCTCATAACTAGTCATGTTAAGAACTATGAGTAGAATAGTAATGTAGAAAACACAGCTTTACAGTCTCTTGCATCGGTTATTATCTATCTATATCCTGTCAATGACCCAAATAATATTTCCCCAGTACTTAAAATACAGTTTCTGATGCTATTTTATTTTCGTATCTTCCGGCTACAATAGAACAGCCTAGTCCAACTTCGCCAGTCCACCCTTTTTTATTTATTCTTTGTTTGAGTAACTACCCGGTTTGCAATCTAACCATGTTTCATTTCTTAGATGATTGCGCCGACCTTTCTATCACAGTGAAAGCTATGTGATTGATCGCTTTCGATACCGCCACTGTGTTTTGTCTCAGGAGTTCCTGCAAAATCTGCTTGAGATACCCTGCTTGTGGAAAAAAAGAAAGTCTTGTGTCTTTTACTTGTGCAAGCATATCGTCGTTTCATGTAAAATTGTACATGTCTGTGGACCTTGTTCTATTATCCACATCACCTTTCTGTGGACCATGTTCTTTTACCCACATCACCTTTCTGTGGACCATGTTCTTTTATCCGCATCCCCTTTCTGTGGACCATGTCCTTTTATCCTCATCACCTTTCTGTGGACCATGTTCTTTTACCCACATCACCTTTCTGTGGACTATGTTCAATTATCCTCATCACCTTTCTGTGAACCATGTTCTTTTACCCACATCACCTTTCTGTAGACCATGTTCTTTTATCCGCATCCCCTTTCCAATTCCAATTCCAATTCGTCCAACAAAAATTCTAAATTGGATCCTTTTTCATCCGCCCCGAGGCCTGCTATATGAAGGAATGTTCCTTTGCTGTCTTGTTTGATTTCCTTTTATTTGTGGTGTGTAGTCACACCTGATATCCCGGTTCTTTGCTTCCTTGCTGCACCGTTTGCTTGTGGTCTTTGGGTCTGGTGTGGTCCAGATCTCTTTGTGGTGATATCTACGGGTATGAGCTGACTGTTGCTGGTACTTGGTTTGCCTCGTGCTAATCGCTGTGCTGGTGCCCTGTTGCTGCTTGGTTGCCTCGTGCTGGTCGCTGTGCTGGTGCCCTGTTGCTGCTTGGTTGCCTCATGCTGGTCGCTGTGCTGGTGCCCTGTTGCTGCTTGGTTGCCGCTCTGTAAAGCCGCCGGGATATGCCCAACAAACACCGGGTCACAACGCCTCAATACAATGCTCCTTTTCAGGACAACCAGGGCCAACACAATCTGTTGTTGTCATCAGCCCGGTTTTTTCTTTCCCCCACGGAGTGTGGAGAAGTAGTGGAAATAAGATAGGCTGCAAATGAGAGATCAAGTTGCTCGAATGTACCAGGAGATATGATAGTTAGGTCGGGAGAATGAGAGCGACAGATAGATTGAGAGATGTTGCTTCTTGACGCTGGAACTTCTGGTGGGTTGAGATCCAGTGGCCTGAAATAAAACTGAAGGCATTGTTAACGTTCATGTGATTTGGGGGTGGGGTGGCGTAAGAGAGTCTGGAATGTCCGAGTGCTGGTCCCCTTTGGTGCAATGTCTTTAGCCGTCTGCTTCAGAAAGTCGGGTGGCCTTTGGTGGTTTCCGTTGTCAACTTCTGCCTGAAAGTATGTTAATTACAGATTTTGTTATCATTTAGGCCTTCACGCTGGTATTCGTCCTTAGGGCAGGGTCTGAAATAGGACTGAAAGGCATTGTTTTAAATACATGTGGTGTGGGGTTATGTTGGCTTAAGTTAGACTGAAATTCCCTCCTGCTGGTCCCCTTTGGTGCAATGCCCTTGGCTGGCTGCTTCAGAGCGTCACGTGGCCTTTGGTGAGTCCCGTTGTCTATTTCCTCCTGAAAATATACTAATTTAAGATTTGTGTTACCACTTTGTTATTCGCCAGCGGACAGGTAGAGACAGTGGGAGTAGCATAGGTTTAGAGTGCTGGAATGCTTCAGAGGACATAAAGCGAGGTCGGAAGAGTGAGGGGAAGGATAGGCTGTCCTGGCAGGTGCCACTGGTACTCGCAGGATCTGATCAGGTCCCATCGGGTTGTACAGCTCTGGGTTGGGGGATGGCTTCGCAGATCGCTTTCCCTGTTCTTGAAATAAACTTCTTGACAAATCGCTGAATCTGGTCCTCAGCGCTCACGCTGAGGCAGTTTTCGACAGTCATTGGTTCGTTTCTTGCTCTAAAGTGTAACACAAGCTCTTGTCTTTCAGGTTCGTCTTTCAGGTTTTACAGTTCAGCAAGAAGTATTCCATAGAGTCGTTGGCCCTGCCAACCTGACATACAGCGGGATCGGTCTGTCCAACACCCTCGTGGCATCTTCCACAGCTTGCGGATGACAGGTATTTTTGTCGGCGCTTGTACTTGGTTCTTGAGACTGGGTTTTTCTAGTAATTTCTAGGCGACTCTGCCTTTATCGCTGGTCGACCACTGCAGGGACCACTCTCTGCAGATGTTGTTTCTGATGACAGTTTTTTGTTCAGTTTTGCCCAGTCCCGTGAACACTGTGTTAGGGCTGCTGGTTTCTCTTTTTGCCGCTCTGTCTGCTGCTTCGTTGCCTTCGATACCTATGTGAGCTGGGATCCAGCCAATGGTTACCTGGCATCCCAGGCTCCTCAGTCTGGTTGACAAAGTCAGGATTTCTTCTTTCAAGTCTTGTCGGCTCACTTTCGAATAGTCTTTTAATGACTGGACAGATGACAGCGAGTCGGTGAGGATAAGGCGCTTTATGGGCGGCCTTTAGCAGGCTAGCTCCAGTGCTTTTAGTATCCCTACCATCTCTGTCTTGCATACTGTTGTATTGTCAGTGAGCCTATATTCGTGGGTTGTTTTCAAAGCTCGTATGAAGACCCCTGCGCCGACAGCACCCGTACTGGTTTTGGAGTCGTCTGTGTAGATAATCATGGTGTGTACTTCAGCATTCCGGATGTACTCGTCGACTCTCGACCTTGCATCGAGGATGGCCTGGTTTTTGTCGATTGCGTGCGCCAGGCTTTCGTCCGTGTACGGAATTTTAAGTTCCCAGGTTGGGGTGGTCGGGTAATACCTTATACCGCTATTGTTGGTGGTGTTGAGTTCTGCTGCCGTGTTCCAGGAGGCTGGTCTTCGGAATGTATGTAGTGGGATGCTGATTTTCGACCATGGATATTCATGAACGGTCAGTGCCTGGGCGGCAGGGTGGTGTGAGTCGAGCGATGTTTGAGACCAGTAGCTGTGCCTCAGTTGTCTTCTGCGTAGGCTTAGTGGGATGAGACCTAGTGCTACCTCCATGGCTTCTTGACTGGTTCCTCTCCCTGCCCCCAGGATGATTCTCATTGACTCGTTCTGAATTCGGTCTAGAAGAGCTTTTTTTTTTTGGAAGCAGCATCATATACGACACATCCGTATTCGAGCTTGCTTCTGACAAACGCCTTATAGGAGTTCAGTAGGGTTCGGTGTGCGCACCCCATCCGGACCCTTTGATTATTCTAAGAAGGTTGTTGTTGTTGGAGCATCTGGCAATGGTTTGCTTTATGTGTCGGTTCCAGTTCATTTGTTGGTCGAGTAACATTCCTAGAAATGTCGTTTGCGTTTTTCTTGGTATTCTTTGCCCGTTTATCATGATGCGGATTTCAGAGTCTGTATGTGCCCACGATTTCTTCTTCCAGTGAAATATCATTTGGACGAATTTCGTCGAGTTGATTCTGAAGCCCCACTTCTCCATCCATCCTGCTACATTGTCGGCCGCCGACTGCAGCTGATTTCTGGCGTGTTCTATGAGGATGCTTGAGCACCATATTGCGCAGTCATCGGCGTACTGGGACAGACCGACATTGTCGACCCCTATGGCCTCCGCGAGATCGTTCACGAAGATGGAGAAGATAACCGGGGAAATCACCGAGCCTTGTGGGGTGCCGTTCTCTTGCCTGTGGGTTGCCGACCTTTTGTTTTTGACTGCTACTGAGAAGGTTCGGTCTTGTAGGAAGCTCTTGATATAGTTGAGAGTTTTCCCTACAATTCCTACTACGCTCAGTTTTCTGATTGCGGCTTCCCTCCAGCAGGTGTCGAAAGCGCTGGTCAGGTCTAGAAAGATGGCGGTTTCTTTTTTCTTTTTTCAGGAATCCCTCTTGACGTGATCTTCTAGCTTGATCACCTGGTCAATTGAGGATCGGTTGGCTCTGAAACCGGATTGCGTGCTGCTGTATTTTTGGTGTTTTTCCAGGTGGAAGTTAATTCTCTTGGTCACTACAGTCTTCAGTAAATTTCCCATGTGGGAGGTCAGTAATATAGGTCGATACGAGTCCAGTCTCTGCGTATCCCTGTGGGATTTTGGTACTGGGATGACTGTAGCGTATTTCCCTTGTTGTGGGACTATTCCCTCTCTCCAGACATCGTTATATTGATCTGTGATGGCCTGGACTGTTTTGCTGGGGAGCATTTTCATCTGCTTGTAGCTCAAGATATCTGCCCCAGCGGCTGTGTCCTCTTTCGCCCGGATTGCTGAGGTCACTTCTTCTATTGTGATGTCTGAATCGAGGTAGTAGTTAGTAATGTCTGGTTCAGGTTTTAGTTCTGCAGTCGCTAATAGTCGTGCTCGTCTGCCCCTTTCTCATTTGAGCTGATCTCATAAAAATATTGACAGAACAAGTCGGCTTTTTCTTTGTCTGTGATCGCTAATCTCGTTGTTTTGATAGTGGGGATTCGAGTCGACTTTTTGTTCCCCTGAATGGCCTTGATTTGAGCCCACACTTTACTGGCAAGGTGCTCAGATCCAGGGTCTGACAGAAAGTTCTCCAGTGGGCCTCTTTGGACTTCTTGATGGTTCTGTTGGTCGCGTTTCTCTGGATTCTGTATTCAGCAAGATTTGCATTGGGCTTGTTGCGCCTGTATCTTTGCAGAGCCCTTTTCCGTTCATCAATCGATATCTGGCATTTATCGTTCCACCAACCCACAGGCGGTTTCTTTTTAGGTGACTGTGGATTGGTGGGTCGGTGCTGTTTGTGCAGTGATGGCTAGGCATGTTTTTGTTGTCAATGTTTCTGATGGCTGCTACCAGGATAGTGTTCATGAGTCTTTTGGTGTAGTCCTCTAGGCTTTCGCCTAGGTCACGTTCTAGTTTGGTTTCGTCTAGCTGTTGCTGAAACATTTCCTAGTTTGCTTTCTTATAGTTGAAGGTGGGCCTGAGGATGTCTTCGTTGGTGTGGGCTTGTGTGTTTAGGTAGATAGAAATCAGGAGGTGGTCTGAGTTGGAATCCTCGGAGATCACCTACTGGCAGCCTGTCAGGTCGGGTGTGGTCATGGTGATGTCGACCACCGTGTCTCTCATTATCCGGCAGGGGTTTATTCTGGTGAAGGAGCTATCGTTGATAATGGTAAGCTCGTTCTCTTCTACGAACTCCATTAACCTGTCCCCATCCTCCCCCCCCCCCAACAGTTTGCAGTGAGACTGCCTCAACCCGGATGATGGCAGTAGAAATCAGGATTATCGTCCTTGGCTGTAGTTTCGTTTTCAGTTCGTCGGTGTCTGTCGCTTCCAGTTTCCCAGCTGGGCAGTACACGTTTATTAGTTTTACTTGTTTCCGAATGCCGGCGATCGTCACTGATATAACTTCACAGTTTTTCGTGTCGAGAGTCTCTTGACTGATCACTCGGATTCGGTTGGGTACGATGATTGCCACTCCCACGCCCCTTGTGTCCTTCGTGCGGTCGTGTCTGTAGATGGTGTAACCGCGATGTTTGAATCGGTCGGTGGGTTTTAGAAGTGTCTCCTGCAGGGCTATGATTGTCAAATCACCCTCTAGCTGATTAGTATTCCCTAGAAGGTTCTTCTTGAGTCCCCTGCAGTTCCACTAGACAATTTTTATATTGGTGTCTTTCATTGTCGGTTTTTGGTCTGTTGATTATGTGCGTTTTTGGGTAGTATTGTGTGTGTGTGTGTGTGTGTGTGTGTGTGTGTGTGTGTGTGTGTGTGTGTCCACTGAGCGTCTGGCAGGTTTTCACTGTCAGACGGGTCACTGCTCGTAGTACTTGTGTCTGCCGATGTTTCCTGTTCCTCGGTGTCATCTTGAGGGGTGCTGCTGCTGCATGCGTATTCGTCTATGCCGGCTTTTATTTTGTCGTCGATAGTCGATTGTAGTTTGTTGAGGAGAGTCTCCCACTGGTGGTATGGTTCGGTTCTAGCTTTTTCAATTTTGTTGTCGAGATCGGTTATGCGGCTTTTCGCCTCTTCCACATCTAGGTCGACCATTTGTGCATGCAGTGTCAGTTCTCGGACTTGAACTTCGAGTGCTTGGGCTTTCACTTTTTTTGCTAAGTTTTCTTTCTTTTCTGAGCTGAGTGCTTTTATCAGTTCAGCTACCTCTTTTTTTTTAGGGCACACACCTCCTCGCTGTCGATTGCTGGCGGTGCCACTGGTGCTGGGCTGCTTGCGATTGCGACGTACTTGGATGCATGTGCTTGCGACGTGAGTGTGGCCTGGAGTATGCGCATGTCTGACTGCATTTCTTGTGGTGATTTCTTCTGGGACTGGTTCCATCTGACAACTTTCATGGGTGTGTTGGTCAGATTTGCCTCTCGCCAGGCCTGCTTGGTAGCTTTGAGTGCGAGGCAGCCTTGGTGTCTGGAACTGTGGTTACCTTTGCAGTTTGCACATTACCGTTCCAAGTTGCTGGCCTTCCAATTTGGGTCGACTTTTGATTTTAGGCATTCTTTAGCTCAGTGATTTTGAGAGCAAAATTTGCAGATCGGATGTCGGTTTATAGCAATTTCTCAGGGTGTGTAAAAAGACCTGACATTTTGGACACTGGATCATACGGGAAATGAATTTCTCAAAGAATTTTCCTTTGCCGTTGAAACAGATGCTTGCGGGTAGGTTTCTTACGGCTAGAGTAACTTTTAAAATGGAGTTGGGATCACCGTTTCCCTTCTTAATCCTTTCTACATTGACTATTTTCTGTGGACCATGTACTTTTATCCTTATCACCTTTCTGTGGACCATGTCCTTTTATCCTCATCACCTTTCTGTGGACCATGTTCATTTATCCTCATCACCCTTCAGTGGACCATGTTCTTTTATCCGCATCCCCTTTTTGTGGACTATGTTCTTCAGTCCACATCACCTTTCTGCGGATCATCTTCTTTTATCCATTTCACCATTCTGTGGGCCATGTTCATTTTTCCACCTTATCATTCTTCTTAATTGCTGTATTGCATGTAAAATATTTTGAGTCATCGTCCATTGCTTGCACTTAAATAATTGGATGAATTGACCCGTTGTTTCATTTAAAAAAAAAAAAAAATTACATCGTCGAGTCGTTTCATCCTAGCTAGATACTGTATAAGATAGAAATTGATAAGATTACATCTTCCACTCGTTTTGTTCTAGCTAGACACAAGATTTAGAATTTCAGTAGAATTACGTCCACTCGTTTCCCCCTTGCTAGATATAAGATAGAGTTTAATAAGATTACATTGTCCACTTGTTTCATCCTAGCTAGATATAACATATTTTCGTAAGATTACATCGTCCACTCGTCTCATGCTAACTAGATACAAGATAGGATTTCAGTAGAATTAGGTGAACTCAGAGCTGACTTGAGACATCTGTCTACAGGTACTCGTTCGCGTACACTCGTCTGGGGTCAATCCTTGTGACACAATTATCAGACAAGGAGATTATAGTCTTTCAAATGTACCGCCACCGTTTGTCACCGGCCTGGATGGTGCTGGGATTGTAGAGGAGGTCGGTCAAGGTGTCACTGAGTTCAAGGTCAGTCTAGTGTAAATGTATACATATGTTCATGACGTGTCAACTATTTGGACGGAGTGTTGACAGTGACGCAACAAATACATGGTAGGAGAAAATCTCACCTGCTAAATCCTAACCGTAGTCAGTAGTCCTGTGCCTTGCTCAATCGAATTATGGTTGCATCCTTCTTAATCTATCCATAGACGGGAAATTCCAAAAACCACGCGTGTGCATACTTGATGAGTTCATGGGACCTCTACAAAGCATTGAAGGAATGGAGCTTGGGTTTCAGGATATCAGTCTTAACAAACACACAGGCCACGACTATTGGCTCAGGCAGGATGCTCACTATCTGAGGCCGGTGCATCGGAAAAACAGATTGTCCAACAAGACACCTAACCAAGACTGTCACACCCCTGTCACACCCCTGTTACGCCCCTGTTACACACCAATGGCACACACCTGTTAAACCCATGGAACCCCTGACACACCACTGTTACGCACCTAACACACCATCGTTACACCCAAGTTACACCCCTATTACCCCCTGTTACACAATTGGCAGACCCCTGTTACACCCCTGTCACACCCCTGTTACACACCTGGTACACACCTGTTAAACCCCTGGCACACCCCTGGCACACCCCTGTTACAGACCTGGCACACCCCAGTTACACCCCTGGCACACCCCTGTTACACACTTGGAACACCTCTGTTACACACCTGGCAAACCCCCGTTACACACCTGCCACACCACTGGTACACCCCTGGCAAACCCCTGGCACACCCCTGTTAAACACCTGTTACACCCATGGCACAACCCTGTTACACAACTGTTACAACCCTGGCACACCCCTGTTACACAACTGTTACACCCATGGCACACCCCTGTTACACACCTGGCACACCACTGGCACACCCTTGGCACATCCCTGTTACACACCTGGCACACACCTGGCACACACCTGGCACACCCCTGTTACACACCTGGCACATCCCTGTTACACCCATGTTACACCCCTGACACAAACCTGACACAGCCCTGACACACCTGTCACACCTCTGTTACACACCTGGCACACCCCTGTTACACACCTGGGACACCCCTGTTAAACACTTGGCACACCACCGTTACACACCTGGCACACCCCTGTTACACACCTGGCACATCCCTTTTACACCCCTGGCACAAACCTGGCACACCCCTGGCACACAACTGTTATACAACTGGCACACCCCTTTCACACCTGGCACACACCTGTTACACAGCTGGCACACCCCTGTTACACACCTGGCACACCCCTGTTACACCCCTGGCACACCCCTGTTACACACCTGGCACACCCCTGTTACACACCTGGCACACCCCTGTTACACACCTGGCACACCCCTGTTACACACCTGGCACACCCATGTTACACACCTGGCACACCCCTGATACACACCTGGCACACCCCTGTTACACACCTGACACACCCCTGTTACACGCATGACACACCCTTGTTACACACCTGGCACACCCCTGTTACACACCTGGCACACCCCTGTTACACCCCTGTTACACCCCTGGCACACCCCTGTTACACCCCTGGCACACCCCTGTTACACCCCTGGCACACCCCTGGCACACCCCTGTTACAGACCTGGCACACCCCAGTAACACCCCAGGCACACCCCTGTTACACACTTGGCACACCTCTGTTACACACCTGGCAAACCCCCGTTACACACCTGCCACACCACTGGTACACCCCTGGCAAACCCCTGGCACACCCCTGTTAAACACCTGTTACACCCATGGCACAACCCTGTTACACAACTGTTACACCCCTGGCACACCCCTGTTACACAACTGTTACACCCATGGCACACCCCTGTCACACCACTGGCACACCCCTGGCACATCCCTGTTACACACCTGGCACACACCTGGCACACCCCTGTTACACACCTGGCACATCCCTGTTACACCCATGTTACACCCCTGACACAAACCTGACACAGCCCTGACACACCTGTCACACCTTTGTTACACACCTGGCACACCCCTGTTACACACCTGGGACACCCCTGTTAAACACTTGGCACACCACCGTTACACACCTGGCACACCCCTGTTACACACCTGGCACATCCATTTTACACCCCTGGCACAAACCTGGCACACCCCTGGCACACAACTGTTATACAACTGGCACACCCCTTTCACACCTGTTACACAGCTGGCACACCCCTGTTACACACTTGGCACACCCCTGTTACACACCTAGCACACCCCTGTTACACACCTGGCACACCCCTGTTACACACCTGGCACACCCATGTTACACACCTGGCACACCCCTGTTACACACCTAGCACACCCCTGTTACACACCTGACACACCCCTGTTACACGCATGGCACACCCTTGTTACACACCTGGCACACCCCTGTTACACCCCTGTTACACCCCTGGCACACCCCTGTTACACCCCTGGCACACCACTTTTACACCCCTGGCACACACCTGGCACACCCCTGTTACACAACTGGCACACCCCTGTTACACACCTGGCACACCCCTGTTACAGACCTGTTACACCCCTAGCACACCCCTGTTACAACGCTGGCATACCACTGGCACACCCGTGTTACACCCCTGTTACACACCTAGCACACCAATGTTACACAGCTGGCACACCCCTGTTACATTCGTGTTACAACCCTGACACACGCCTGTTACACCCAATTTACACCCCTGGCACACCACTGGCACAACCCTTGCACACCCCTGCAAAACCACTGGTACACCCCTGTTACACACATGGCAAACCCCTGTTACACACCTGGCACACCCCTTTTAAACACCTGACACACCCCCGTTACACACCTGGCACACCACCGTTACACACCTGGCACACCCCTGTTACACACCTGGCACACCCTTGTTACACATCTTGCACATCCCTGTTACACACCTGTTACACCCTTGTTACACACCTGGCACACCAATGTTACACACCTGGCACACCCCTGTTACACCCCTGGCACACCCCTGTTACACAACTGTGACACATTTGTTACCCCCTAACATACCCCTGTTACACCCCTGGCATACCACTAGCGCAACCCTCGCACACCCCTGCAACACCCCTGTTACACCTCTGTTACACCCCTTAAACACCCCTGTTACACCCCTGGCATACCACTGGCACACCTCTGGCACACCCCTGAAACACCCATGGCACACCCCTGTTACACTCCTGTTACACTCCTGACACACCCCTGTTACACCCAATTTACACCCCTGGCACAGCACTGGTACAACCCTTGCACACCCCTGTAAAACCACTGGCACACTCCTATTAAACACATGGCAAACCCCTGTTACACACCTGGCACACCCCTGGCACACAACTGTTATACAACTGGCACACACCTTTCACACCTGGCACACCCCTGTTACACACCTGGCACACCCCTGTTACACACCTGGCACACCCCTGTTACACACCTGGCACACCCCTGTTACACACCTGGCACACCCCTGTTACACACCTGACACACCCCTGTTACACATCAGGCACACCTTGTTACAAACCTGGCACACCACCGCTACACACCTGGCACACCCCTGTTACACACCTGACACACCCCTGTTACACACCTGGCACACCCCTCCCACACCCCTGTTACACACCTGGCACACCCCTGTTACACACCTGGCACACCCCTGTTACACACCTGACACACCCCTGTTACACATCAGGCACACCTTGTTACAAACCTGGCACACCACCGCTACACACCTGGCACACCCCTGTTACACACCTGACACACCCCTGTTACACACCTGGCACACCCCTCCCACACCCCTGTTACACACCTGGCACACCCCTGTTACACCCTGGCACACCCCTGTTACACCCCTGGCACATTCCTGTTACACACCTGGCACACCGCTGTTACACACTTGGCACACCCCTGTTACACACCTGGCACACCCCTGTTACACACCAGGCACACCCCTGTTACACACCTGGCACACCCCTGTTACACACTCGGCACACCCCTGCTACACCCCTGTTACACACCTTTCACACCCCTGTTACACCCCTGTTACACACCTGGCACACCCCTGTTACACCCCTGGCACACCCCTGTTACACTCCTGGCACACCACTGTTACACAACTGTGACACCCTTGTTACCCCCCTGGCACACCTCTGTTACACCCCTGCCACCACCTAGCACACCCCTGTTACACCCCTGGCATACCACTGGCACAACCCTCGCACACCCCTGCAACACCCCTGGCACACACCGGGCACACCCCTGTTACACACCTGGCACACCCCCGTTACACACCTGGCACACCCCCGTTACACACCTGGCACACCACCGTTACACACCTGGCACACCCCTGTTACACACATGGCACACCCCTGTTACACATCTGGCATACCCCTGTTACACACCTGTTACACCCTTGTTACACACCTGGCACACCCCTGGCACACCCCTTTTACACACCTGGCACACCCCTGTTACACCTCTGGCACACCCCTGATACACCCCTTTTACACCCCTGGCACACACCTGGCACACCCCTGTTACACACCTGGCACACCCCTGTTACACAACTGTTACACCCTTGTTACCCCCATGTCATACCCCTGTTACACCAGTGGCACACCTCTGTTACACCCCTGCCACCCCCTAGCACACCCCTGTTACACCCCTGGCATACCACTGGCACACCCCTGGCACACCCCTGCAACACACCTGGCACATCCCTGTTACACCCATGGCACACTCATGTTACACCCCTGTTACACCCCTGGCACATCCCTGTTACACCCCTGTTACACCCCTGACACACCCCTGTTACACCCATGTTACACCCTTCGCACACCACTGGCACAACCCTTGCACACCCCTGCAAAACAGCTGGCACACCCCTGTTGCACCCCTGGCACACCCCCTTTACACACCTGGCACACCCCGTTACACACCTGGCACACCCCGTTACACACCTGGCTCACCCCTGTTACACACCTGACACACACCTGTTACACACCTGGCACACCCCCGTTACACACCTATCACACCCCCGTTACACACCTGACACACACCCGTTACACACATGTCACACCTCTGTCACACCCTGTTTAAACACCTGTCACCCTCCTGTCACGCCCTGTTACACACCTGGCACACCCTGTTACACACCTGACACACCCTTGTTACACAACTGGCACACCCCTGTTACACACCTGACACACCCCTGTCACACCCTGTTACACACCTGTCACCCTCCTTTCACGCCCTGTAACACACCTGGCACACCCCTGTTACACACCTATCATACCCCCGTTACACACCTGAAACACACCCTATTACACACCTGGCACACTCCTGTGTGCAGAGCTCGAGGATTTGACAGGAATGTGTGTGTCTCGTTTACCTCTGTGGAGAAGAACACAAACTCTCTGCCCCCCTCCCTCCGCCTAAGAAACATGACGGCAGTCCACTTATTAGGGTCTCTTTTGGAGTCGGGGCGTGTCTGTCTGAGAGGCAAGGAACCAACAATCTAACAACAGATAAGCCATATCTGTAAAAGGGATGTGCGGAACTCAATTACTAGAAAACTGCTGACTTCCAGAGGTGGACGAACAACCAGAATTTTTAACCAGTACAGCCTGTGTGCGTGAAGAAGAAGTAATCAGTTGTTCTGCTGGACCACGGTAGCGGGGACAAGAGTTAGCAACATCACTACGGCTGTTTCATCAATAATCTATGTGTTGCTGTTCCTTCATATTGTATCACATCCTCTCATCCACAGGCAGGAGATCGTGTGTACGTCCTTCATATTGTATAACAAGCTCTCATCCACAGGCAGGAGATCGTGTGTACGTCCTTCATATTGTATAACATGCTCTCATCCACAGACAGGAGATAGTGTGTACGTCCTTCATATTGTATAACATGCTCTCATCCACAGAGAGGAGATCGTGTGTACGTCCTTCATATTGTATAACATGCTCTCACCCACAGGCAGGAGATCGTGTGTACATCCTTCATATTGTATAACATGCTCTCATCCACAGGCAGGAGATCGTGTGTACGTCCTTCATATTGTATAACATGCTCTCATCCACAGGCAGGAGATCGTGTGTACGTCTTAATATTGTATAACATGCTCTCACCCACAGGCAGGAGATTGTGTGTACGTCCTTCATATTGTATAACATGCTCTCACCCACAGACAGGAGATCGTGTGTACGTCCTTTATATTGTATAACATGCTCTCATCCACAGACAAGAGATCGTGTGTACATCCTTTATATTGTATAACATGTTCTCATCCACAGACAGGAGATCGTGTGTACGTCCTTTATATTGTATAACATGTTCTCACCCACAGACAGGAGATCGTGTCTACATCCTTTATATTGTATAACATGTTCTCATCCACAGACAGGAGATCGTGTCTACGTCCTTTATATTGTATAACATTCTCTCACCCACAGACAGGAGATCGTGTCTACGTCCTTTATATTGTATAACATGCTCTCATCCACAGACAGGAGATCGTGTCTATATCCTTTATATTGTATAACATGCTCTCATCCACAGACAGGAGATCGTGTGTACGTCCTTCATATTGTATAACATGCTCTCATCCACAGACAGGAGATCGTGTCTATATCCTTTATATTGTATAACATGCTCTCATCCACAGACAGGAGATCGTGTCTACGTCCTTTATATTGTATAACATGTTCTCATCCACAGACAGGAGATCGTGTCTATATTCTTTATATTGTATAACATGCTCTCACCCACAGACAGGAGATCGTGTCTACGTCCTTTATATTGTATAATATGTTCTCATCCACAGACAGGAGATCGTGTGTACGTCCTTTATATTGTATAACATGTTCTCACCCACAGGCAGGAGATCGTGTCTACGTTCTTTATATTGTATAACATGTTCTCATCCACAGACAGGAGATCGTGTCTACATCCTTTATATTGTATAACATGTTCTCACCCACAGACAGGAGATCGTGTCTACGTCCTTTATATTGTATAACATGCTCTCACCCACAGACAGGAGATCGTGTCTACGTCCTTCATATTGTATAACATGTTCTCACCCACAGACAGGAGATCGTGTGTACGTCCTTTATATTGTATAACATGTTCTCACCCACAGGCAGGAGATCGTGTCTACGTCCTTTATATTGTATAACATGTTCTCACCCACAGACAGGAGATCGTGTCTACGTCCTTTATATTGTATTACATGTTCTCACCCACAGACCGGAGATCGTGTCTACATCCTTTATATTGTATAACATGTTCTCACCCACAGACAGGAGATCGTGTCTACGTCGTTTATATTGTATAACATGTTCTCACCCACAGACAGGAGATCGTGTCTACATCCTTTATATTGTATAACATTTTCTCATCCACAGACAGGAGATCGTGTCTACGTCCTTTATATTGTATAACATGTTCTCACCCACAGACAGGAGATCGTGTCTACGTCCTTTATATTGTATAACATGCTCTCATCCACAGGCAGGAGATCGTGTCTACGTCCTTTATATTGTATAACATATTCTCATCCACAGGCAGGAGATCGTGTGTACATCCTTCATATTGTATAACATGCTCTCATCCACAGACAGGAGATCGTGTCTACGTCCTTTATATTGTATAACATTCTCTCATCCACAGGCAGGAGATCGTGTCTACGTCCTTTATATTGTATAACATGCTCTCATCCACAGGCAGGAGATCGTGTCTACGTCCTTCATATTGTATAACATTCTCTCATCCACAGGCAGGAGATCGTGTCTACGTCCTTCATATTGTATAACATGCTCTCATCCACAGGCAGGAGATCGTGTCTACGTCCTTTATATTGTATAACATGCTCTCATTCACACGCAGGAGATCGTATCTACGTCCTTTATATTGTATAACATGCTCTCATTCACAGGCAGGAGATCGTGTCTACGTCCTTCATATTGTATAACATTCTCTCATCCACAGGCAGGAGATCGTGTGTACATCCTTCATATTGTATTGCATGCTCTCATCTACAGAAAGGAGATTGTGTGTACGTCCTCTATATTGAATAACATGCTCTTATCCACAGACAGAAGACCGTGTGTACGTCCTTCATATTGTATAACATGCTCTCATCCACAGGCAGGAGATAGTGTGTACGTCCTTCATATTGTATAACATGCTCTTATCCATCCACAGACAGAAGATCGTGTGTACGTCCTTCATATTGTATAACATGCTCTTATCTACAGACAGAAGATCGTGTGTACGTCATTCATATTGTATAACATGCTCTCATCCACAGACAGAAGATCGTGTGTACGTCCTTCATATTGTATAACATGCTCTCATCTACAGACAGAAGATCGTGTGTACGTCCTACATATTGTATAGCATGCTCTCATCTACAGATAGGAGATTGTGTGTACGTCCTTCATATTGTATAACATTCTCTCATCCACAGGCAGGAGATCGTGTGTACATTGTGGCTGAGTCCTCAGGCACCTGCGCTGACTATATTGTTGCCCTTGTCAGAAATGTGGCCTCGCTGAGTGACCAGTTGTCGTTTGCCCAGGGAGCCTCCATTGGTATCCCATACTACACGGCCTACAAGGCTCTGTACACAAAGTAGGTTTACCTCGGTGATAGATGACCTTTGTGTGCATGTGTACTCTGTGTTTGGTAGGCGGTTGTTTTATTTTTTTTCAATTTTTTTTTTTTTATTGCTCCTCTCCACGGAAATCTTTATTTTTTTTTTTCAATGTGTTTATTGTTTGAAACATATTTACAAATCTCTTTTGAAACAAAAGCAAAATCAATATCAATAAAATGATGTGAAGAAAATGATGATGATTTGTACCGTTTCTCGCTAACGTTTAACAGGAATTAGAGACAGGGGGAGGCAGAGAGGACCGGGCGGTTTGAGGAAAGCTGGGGCTGTTAGGTCTGTCGACGGATACGGTTCATTTCGATGGTAATGTACATGTACTTATTCAACGTGGCAATGATGTTTTTAATAGACTCGTTGTCACCAAGCATCTTTGATTGTAGGGAGAGGAGAAGACAGAAAAAGGATGTGGGGGCGATAGGGGGGTGGGCCGCCGCTCATTGATGCTGGTGACATGTATTGATGGGCTAACAAAAGCAGCTATATGATGAGGTGATAAATGAAAACATGTGTGTTAAAGAACAATGCATATTATGATTACCAACAAACAAATTGACAGAAAGTAGGACAGCTAGGCAGAAAAGGAAAATTGGGGCTGGACTTAGAAAGAGATAGACACCACTCGTATGTTTGTTGGCGAGATAACGTCAAGAGACGTTGTTTTCCTTAAAAATACATATAAGCATTGTTTTTGTTAATTTCATGGCAAAAGATTATATCATACATACATTATACATACATACATATGTTTATATCATACATACATACATTTTATAGCATGTAAAAAGTAGAAACATGGTGATCATGGTGATGGAATATCGGCGATGATGATTATTTGTTAAAGAATATAGTATATTCACATTACATTAATATACAAATGCATTCATAACACGTGAAAAGGTATATTTTTAATTACGTCCTTCTTAGGACGTAATTTTTTGTTATTTGAAGCCCCACTCTGGCTTTTGCCAGGGGCCGCAATATAGGCAGGCCATCAATATGGCCAATTGTCTGAAAGCGGTTTCTGGGACCTCTCCACGGTGATCCTCATCCGCATGGTGGCATTTTGTGTCATCGGGTGTTTATCGCTTGTGTGATGTCCTGGTGGGGTAGAAAGTCAAGTTCAAGTCAAGTCATGTGAAAAGGTATGGTGGTCATGGTGTTGGCATATCGGCGATGAGGATGATGATGATATTACTTTGGGGAAACTCACGTTGCATAATTATATACATCAATGCATTACAAAGTATGAAAAGAAAAGGAAAAAGGCAAAAATCAAACCAGTGTGGTGATGATGATGATGGCATGTCGTCGATGGTGGTGATGATGATAGTGGTAATGGCATTTTACTGAGTCCTAACATCTGGGACATCAGGAAAGACAGTTTCAATTTTCTACTTAAACATCAACATGAACAATTCTTTAGAATAATTCCTAAATTTGAACTTTGCAAAATTTCTGCAAGTCCAAACAAAGTATCTGTACTGTGCCAGGACCAGAAGGAGTTTGGTGTGCGTATCTTTGTCAGATTTAATAATATTGTTGAGAAAGATTGCTGTAAAGAGATTGGTCTGTTTGCCTGCGTGCCTGTTGATTATTTCCCTAAGAAGTGTGTGTGTTGGTTTGACTGTAGAGCAGTCGTAGAAGAGGTGGCGCTCAGTCTCCTGTATCTGCTCCCTACACAACTGGCATTTAGCCATGCACCCATCGCTGTGGGCGTCTCTCTCTGTTGTAGGAGTCAGATTAAAAAGAAGCCTGAACCTAATTTCGCTGGCCCTGGCTGGTAAGTGTTTGTTGTGTAGGTTTGAGAAGGTGATTGTGAAATCCGTGGTGTGAGGCGGCTGTTGCCATTTAATCCGCAGGTAGAGTGGCGGGGCGAGCCTCCGGATTAGGTTTTTGTATATTTTGTGTGTGGGTTCGTGTAGTAAGTGTTCGTTTCCCGGTAGGGAGTGTAAGGCGTTTTTGTAGAAGCTCGGAAGAGCTCCGAAGTGATTGGCACTTTTATTGTCGATCTTCCTCAAGTAATGGATCCTGATTGCTATGGGCGATTCGCTTTAGGGGACTGGATGATTTCGCCGATTCTTTTTAATCTTGAGGCTGTAATCTGGGTTTCTAAGTCCCTGAGGTAAATTCCCCCTTTTCTTTTTTCCTGGATCAGGGTGTGGTGCTTAATCAAATAAATGGTAAACCGGAAGCTGAACTTCCTGATATGTTTATTAATTTCCCTAATGAATTTTTGAGGGGGATCCAATACTGTGGCCAGAAAGAGGATTTTCGACATAATATAGGTGTTTACCACGACAGCTCTTCCGAAAATGGTGGTTGTCTTGTACTTGTAGCGTTCTAACATGTCTACCACTTGGCGTGTCAGCTCCTGCCACGTGTGCGTGTGTGTTAGGGAGGGGTTATACTGGAAAGTGATCCCGTAGACCTTTAACGCCTCAGTGGTCACGAGGCCGGTGGGGGGGGGGGACGCCTGTGTTTCCACGCCCCTAGTCCCAATATTTGGGATTTCTGCTGGTGTGACCGAAGCGGTCAAAGGTGTGTAGGATGTTTTTAATGGATGTGTCGGTTGACGGGAGGAACACAGTGTCGTCCGCGTAGGCCAACTCTTTTCGGTCCCCTATGCCCTGTACGAGGGTACACCTGATACTAGCGTCCTGTTGGATCGCCTCCAATAATGGTTCTAGTATCAGCACGTACAGGAGAGGTGACAGGGGGCAGCCCTGCCTCACCGACCTGGTGATGGGGAAACTCTCGGTCAGTGTGTGGTTGACGAGGACTTGACTCCTAGGGTTTCTGTACAGGATGTGTATCCACCTCCTGAACTTATCGCCCGTGTTGCACATTTTTAACATTTTGTGCAAGTAGGAGTGACTGACCCGGTCGAATGCCTTCTACTGATCCAGGGATAGGAGGGCCGACGGGCAGTTCTTCTGGTGGGTGTAGGTGATTATATCCCTGAGGAAGTGTGCGTGGCAGAAGACTGACCGGCCCAGTACTGCGCTTTGCTGGTCCGCGTGTACCGTCGTAGACATGTGTGGCCGCAATCGGTTGGTTAAAGTTTTAGAAAGAATCTTAAAATCTGTGTTCATTAGTGAAATCGGTCGGTAGTTCTTAAGCTGTGTCTTGTCTACGTTGTCCTTGGGGATCAACGTAATATAGGAGGTATTAAAGCTCTCTAACAGTTCCTGCAGGTCAAAGGCGTCGTAGAAGACTCTAAGCAATAATGACTATAAGAGTGGAAAAAAGGCTCTGTAAAAAGAAACAGAAAGCCTGTCATTCCCGGGACTCTTTTTGATCGGCATTTCGTGAGGGGGCTGTCAAGGCTGTCTCGGTCATCATCGGGGAGGGGCTTGGCATACTTCAAAAAATGATCCTGTAAATTTCCGTCCGTCTCCGCAACTGTGAATAGTGTTTCGTAATATTGGTGGAATGCCTGGGTGATGTGTGACGGGTCTGTTTGCACATTCCCGTCTGCGTCCCTAATCTGCTGTACGTGTCTGCCGTGCTGAATATTCTGTTCGATGCTGAGGTACTGCTTGCTAGGCGTCTCCTGTGTAATTGTGTTGAGTTTGGTTCTAAGGAAAGCGCCTAGGAATCTGTGTTGCTGTTGCTGTTCTAATTCTAATTCTAACAAGTGCAGCTGAGGGCCTGTTCTGTCGTCCATCTTTGTCATCCGAATGGCGGTTTGTAGAATTTATTCCGTCTCCAGTTTTTGTCGGTGTATGAGAGACGCCACCCTCTGTGTTCTACGTATGATTGTGTTTTTCAGCATCTCCCAATACTCTAAATATTTGTCGTTTGGTATGTTGTCTGTGTACGTACGTATCGTGGCCGTCATGTAGGTCACGTAGTCCGCATTGGCCAGCAAGGTGTTATTAAATTTCCAAGGCGGAGATCGTCTGAAGGGGCGTGTGCTCTCGTTGTGTGCGTCGATGCGTGTGAGTATGGCTTGGTGGTCGATGTAGTTTATAGTTTCTGGTAAATGTTTACACTCCAAGATGAGGTGTGTTCTTGGTGTGTATGTTCTATCTAGCATAGCGGCTCTGTTGTGTGCACGATTCTTGTGGGTGGTCTCTAAACTATTGTGATGTGCCTGCCAGAATGCTTCTGTAAGGTTAAAAGAATCTAAAATGTTCTCTAGTGTTTCTAACTGGGTCAGACCGCCCTTGCCGGACCGTTTCACCTGCGCTCTGACCTCCCCGCCTATTACGTCCATCTGGGTCAGAACGCAGTTGAAATCGCCCGCCAAAACGCTGGCCTCTGTGTGCGTGCAAGAGAGTGTTTTCTAAGTGTTCAAAGAAAGACGGTTGGTGACTGTAGTTTGGTGGGGCGTGAATGTTAGCTAATGTGTATGCCAGCATGTTGTACTCGATTTGTATGATGCTGATGTGACCCTGGACGTCTGTGTGTGTGTGTGTTTATTATATCCCACGTGTCAGATGTCTGCAGTATGGCTGTACCTGACCCTATTATGTGTATCGCTAGGCTGTGGCACGCGTGCTTCAGACCTAACTGTGTAATGATTTGTCGGAAGTGAAAAGGTGTCTGTATGTTTGTTTCTTGTAGTAGGACGAAGTCTGGTTTCTGTTTGTGTATTTTATTGGTGAGGTCCACTATGATCTCCCCAGCCGAACTAGGTCACGTTCCATTGATAGATTTGTTAGACTCGACTGTTGTCCGGGGAGTTACGGCTATGTTGTTTGATTTCTGGCTTGCATTGCAACTACGTTTTTCTTCCAAATAAAGAGAATACCTGTGACATAGGTTGCAGTACTCTTTAGGGGGGTTGAAGGTAGACCCAGTGTGTAAAATTTTTTGTAGTGTTAAAAGCACTAGCGTGCTTAAATATATGACACACGATATCAATGCATTTCAGGGCAGTGTGCATGTGTTGGTTGACAGGCGGACGACCAATCAGATACTAGCAAATGTGTAAAGTGTGGAAATTATAGTGAAACTAACTCTCATATATTAGGTAGGTAGGTGGCGTATGTTAGGTTGGCGTGTGTCATATATTTGGTAGGCGGGTGTGATGTATGTTAGGTAGGCGGGCGTCATATATTTGGTAGGCGGGTGTCATATATTTGGTAAGCGGGTGTCATATATTTGGTAGGTGGGTGTCATATATTTAGTAGGCAGGTGTCATATATTTGGTAGGAAGGTGTCATATTTTTGGAGGCGAGTGTGGTGTATTAGGTTGAGGGTACTAGGTTTTAGGTAGGCAAGTTTTTATAAGGCGAGTGGCATGCAAATGGTAGGCGGTTGTCATTTGTTTGGTAGTCATGTGTCATATGTTTTGTAGTCATGTGTCATATGTTTGTTAGGCGATTGTCATATGCTTGTTATGTAGTGTCATATGTTTGTGTGGCGGGTTTCTGATGTTTGTTCGGTGGTATTGTGTATCTGTTAGGCTAATTTCATATTTGGTAGGCAGATAGTTCTTGTTTTTTAGTTAAGTGTTATTTGCTAGGTAGAATGATTTCATGTGTTTTTAGGTCGTTTCACGTTCGTTACGTAGATAACATAAGTTTGGTAGGTGAGTGCTAAGTACTATGTGTTATGTAAAAGCTGTGAAAATAGTTTGGCTAAAGAGTGATTTTTATAGCACTTTGATATCTCCCGTAATGTTCCAACATACACACAAGGAGAATCGTATTACTGCTGACAATCTCTATAGCACTAGCCAGGGTTCACATCTATCTTCCAGATAGACATGTTCGTTTATGGCCAGGTTTTTTTGTATTGAAATCTGGCAAATGCTAGTCTGTGAACTTTGCTTTCGTACATACTAACCCGTGTCAGCGTTCACGTGACCCGCATACCGATATTTTGAAGTTGGGGAGTGATGACTTCCATAGGAAGTCAGCAACACCTGACCACGGATTGATTGTTCACCGAAGTGCTTTTCTCGGTGAGATCTTCGATAATCTCCCCAGGCGAGCTAGGTGGCGTTCCATTGATACATTTTTTAGACTCGTCTGTTGTACGGGAGGTTACGGCTATGTTGTCCGTTCTGGCTTGTCTCGCATTTACGTTTTCTTCCGAGAAAGAGAACGCCTGTTTGGTAATCTGGTAATCTTAGTTTGAACTTCATAGCAAACGGGTCACACCTTTCTGCTGCTGTGCCAGCGAAAAACACACATAATATTTATCACAGTCCCTTGTGGAAAGATTAACAGACTGCTGTCTACTATATGCACTAGCATACACACGCATTAAAGCATACAGTAGCCACCCGAAGTGCTAACACAAACAGTCTGACATTTAAAATGCCGGGTGGCACTAGGGACTAGCAGAAGTCACCAACAGATCAGCAGTTGCACACGCAATCAATTTTAATCACCTAATGGCGCCCCCAAGATCGCAACAACTGGCATCGCACCATTTCTGAATCTACAATTCACACGACCACGTTGGTCACAGTCGAAGAATATTCTAAATTAAATCCACAGCTCACAGTGTCACACCATGCACTCAACTTAGAAGCTGGGCAATGAAACTATTTCTTTCCAGTCTAAATGAAGCAAAAATGCAACGGCCACCGTCTGGCAGAAGCAAACAAATTTGCCACGGCTAAAAACTGACTGTGCCTAGCGTCCATTTTGACCTAAAGCATGATGTGATGGTTAAAAAACGGTCACCCTAGCAGTACTCTCACTATAAGCTGGGGAAGGGACAGGACATTACAAACACCAGCAAGCGTCGGACCTACAACGACCTGACTGCCTTCATTAACCACTGTTCACCCAACATCCATGCAGTTCTTTGGCACGAAGGAGACACCTTGAACTTGGGTTTCGGACTGCCGACTCCCTACACGAAGATATATGTGTGCTACTGGTGTCCCGTAGCCAAAATACTATCTCACTGTATTACTACAATACTGCACGCATACTCAAACGTGCAGCGGTCACAACAACAACAACAAAAACCACACACCCACACACATATATACATAAACATACGCTCATTATCTGCCACCCACCGGCTTGTCGGTGAAGCACACATTCTATATATATATATATATATATATATATATATAGTGGGGGAGAGGGAGAGAGAGACAGAGAGAGAGAGAGAGAGAGAGAGAGAGAGAGAGAGAGACGCAGGCTGAATGACAACACATATTTGAGACACTGACACAGGGAAATCCCTATGCATACAAGGTCGGCATGACTGGCTCCAAGAAGGGGACAGTGAATGGAAATGACTCAGTCAGATAAGATACTGTTCCTGCTGTGACAGAAAGTGGTCTGTAATAGATATCTGCCGTAAAAAGGTGCGCCCAAGGGACGGTTTCAGAAAGAGATGCATCCTTCGTGACAGGGTCACATCGCTTGAACAATGTATTCTGCAAGCCACCAGGGGTTGCATTTACATTTTCTAAGTTCTAACAAAAGAAATACAATAGTAATAACTAATAATAATCATTACCAGCCCAGCCAATACATCCATAAATCGGCGTAGACAGAAGGAGAGAGATAGAGAGAGAGAGAGAGAGAGAGAGAGAGAGAGAGAGAGAGAGAGAGAGAGAGAAAGAGAGAGAGAGAGAGAGAGAAAGAGAGGGAAAAAGGGGGGGGGGCACCGCGTAATTAATTACAGAAACAGTATAACGTTCATTGAGTATTCTGTTTCGTTGACCAAAAGTGCTTTTTGTTAGCCATACAGTTTTTGTATGCATCGATCGAGGCGAGACTAGATGCCGTCTGACTAAGGCTATGAAGAACAGAAAGTCTAAGTGCTGTGTCTCTGCGTTCATTTCTAGGTAGCCATGTGATCACAGACAGTACCTGGTAACTGGCTTACTTTGACGTCGTGCGGCCTTCTACCCGCTTTATGTTACTATTATTAATTGTCCTTAACTGTTGTAGCAGGGTAGGGCTGCGTGAACATGAATCCTGCAGGTAATGTGGGAGCCTAGAGAATGTCGTGTTCTCATCTGTATTTTGTGTAGCCCGATTAGATGTCACTGCGAAAAAAAGGTGAAATATTTATAAAAAGAGAACTCCCAGTGTCTGTAAATATTTCTTCTTCTATTGGCGAACCCGCCCGCGTGAGAACAAATGTTGCCCCATTAAACGGCGTCTAAGTGTCCGAGGGAACGGAGCGTATATTGGTTGATATTCCAGTTTAACGTCTTTAAATCAGTTTCATGTTAGCCTGTGACATAGATTGCAGCACTCTATATGGACGTTGTGAGTTAGATCCAGTTTTTGTAGTGTTAAAAGCTCTGGCGTACTTAAATATACAATACGCGAAATCAACGCATTGCCGAATACACCCTAGCAGTGTGCGAAAGTCGGTTGACTGGAGGTCGACCAATCAGAAGTTACCTAGTGAGTAGTATAGGGAGATTATCGCTGATCTATCCCTTTTCTCTACATTGTTATGCATTCTTTCAATCTCCCACACATCTTTCCGCCGATGACCTGATGCAGTGCCCGAGCCAGACCTGGAGAGACGGTCCTTATCCATGGAGCAAGTGGAGCGGTAAGGAATTGGCTTATTAGTAACTTTTCTATACCCATATCGGTCCGTCTCTCAACCAGTGATGTAACCATGGCTACCTCATGTCTGTACACCTGTTCATGACTGATGGAATTGTGTAAACAATGTGTTTCTGCTGACGAACTAGCTATTCAAATAATCATCATCATCATCATCTTCATCATCATCATTGTCATCAGTTTTGCTATCAACATATGTTCTTAATAAATCCTTTACCTAAAATGAATCTATGTGCTCTAATCATGCTGCTTGCTCGTTCACATTACCAGATACTTCAACACGGCAAGCTTGAACACGAACACACGTCAGGAATTCTAAATTTCTTACCTATTTATGTTTATTGCTCAAATAATGGCCCTCTCAGTCAATGAGCCAGAGATGTTCTATCTAGAGTAACAGCTACTTCAAAGTACATTCTTCTCGCTATCGATACCTGGATGTATATCTTATGTTCAGCACCTCTCACGCTTGCACTTCAACACTACCAAAAACAACATTCACAAACCACACAGCTCAACCGACGATCTGTCCTCCATTTCAAGTTGTCATGGAGCAATAGAAAATTTTTCTAGTGAAACAAGCCGGCAGCTTAATGACAATCACTCGATCTTACGATAGGTTAACTTTAGGCATTGCATGCGCCTCAAGACTAGACTCTCGCTAGATCGAAAACAGCACTGAGCTTTCTAGTTTGCTCAACGCTTTAAAAAATCGATTCTTCTTCTCATAAACTCAAAAGCTCTACTCACGATTTCACGCCTTTCTCATTTGGTACGCTTCAGCCAGACTGCACATTTGCCTCGATTTGGTATATTTCACTCTATTTGTTCACGCATACATTAAAATTAGTAATCAATACCACCCATTAGGATTCTCACACATAATTTATCTTTAGTAGTTGTTCTCAATTACCAGAATGAAAAAATGGACCCTTACAATACTTACCACATCCATGGCTGTCGACATCTATGACTTACTGTTTGTGAAAGCAGTGTCATCATTTTGACATACCCAGATGCATTCAGCAACAGGCAACGTGACAACATAATGCTTTGTTTTATTCCGATCTCAACGTGACCCCCCCCCCCCCCCCCCCACTCCTTTACCCCCCATCATCCACATTGCTAACAAGGACAAAATATAAACGTAAAAATTGCCCGGTAAAACCACAAACAGCCAATAATGACTGAGACTGACCTTCAACGTTCTATACAGAATAGAAAACTAATTTTTCTTTGATCGCTTTGTGCTGTTAGATAATGTGTACACATTAATGACCACTTTGTGCTATTAGATAGTGTGTACACATTAATGACCACTTTGTGCTGTTAGATAATGTGTACACATTAATGACCACTTTGTGCTATTAGATAGTGTGTACACATTAATGACCACTTTGTGCTGTTAGATAATGTGTACACATTAATGACCACTTTGTGCCAGAAGATAAGGTGCACACATTAATGACCACTTTGTGCTATCAGATTTTGCATATCAATGATAGCCTACTTATGAGTATATCTTCCTATGACAACGTACAATAGGTTGGAACCGCAGCCGTTCAGATCGCTGTAGCTAACGGTCAGAGAGTGTTGGGGACTGCCGGCAGTGAGGAAGGTCTGGAGCTGGTCAAGAAGTTGGGAGCTGACCAGGTGTTTAACCACAGGGAGGAGGGCTACACAGACAAGATACTGGTCAGTGTGATCACGTGTCTTTGTCATCACCAACTTTATCATTATCCTCATTTGCATCATCAACATCATTCTTACTATAATCATGACTATCATAATCATCAATATCATACTCATCAATATCATAATCATCATTATCATAAGTATGCACTGCCGGCAGTCAAATACATATTACCTAAAACAGTGGTCAGTATCCCCCCCCCCCCAATCCCCGCAAACATTCGTAGACCCTCCCCCACCCGCAATTTGAGGTACTGAACACCTACCCCATGGAAAGGTGCAAGAACGCTAGGAGCTACCCCCAACCACAATAAGACGTTTTCTGTTGCTCCATTTCTGAGGGAAGGACGACTATTAAACAAGGACGATTATCAAACTAGTTTTTCCATAGAAATAAAGCAAACATGGTTTCGCCTGTTGCCAGTTTTTAATTTTTCCTAATTTAATGATGAATTCTGTAACAACAAAATGTCACTCGAAAATCTTCTTCTTCTTCTTCTTTTGTCAAAATCTGCTTGTGCCGCTAGGCGTCGCAGTCTATCAGATGATCGGCAACCGAGCCAGGGCGCGCTCAGTCGCTTCATATGCCGTGATGTTATGAAGTCTCAAGTTGTCCGTGACTCCTTCAATCCATCTTCTTCTTGGTCTTCCCCTGCCTCTTGTTCTTTCGATTTTCATGTTGTATGCTCTTGATGCTGGCATCGTTGGTTCCATTCTCATTAGGTGACCAAACCATTTCATTCTTTGCTTCTCAATAAATTTAACGATGGGTATGGTTCCAATAGTTCTTGTAATCACATCGTTTCTCACTCGATCTCTTCTGGTTTTATTCGCAGCCATTCTCAAACATCTCATTTCACAGGTGGTTAGTCTTCTCTCATGTTCTTTTGTTAATGTCCAAGTCTGACATTGATAACCTAATGTCGGTATAAAGATTGTATTTATAATTTGTCTTTTTATCTCAGCTGGGACAGCAGGGTGTTTTAAAATTGGGGCAAGCTGGTATGCGACATTGTTGGCTTGTTAGATTCTTGCTTCAATCTCTCTGTCTATTTTACCATTGGATGTAAAGATACTTTCCAGGTATTTAAATTCTTGCACTTGTTTTAGGCTGTGATCTAGAATCTTTATGTCGATGGTCTGTTGCTCTCTACTTATGCTCATGACTTCTGTCTTTTCAGTATTGATCTTCATATGATGCTTGAGGCAACTGTCGTGTAGTAGGTTCATGTGGTCTTGCAGCTGTTTACTATCACTGTGAAATATGCATTGATCGTCGGCAAAGAGCAGCTCATTGAAGTCCTCCTGTTTATCGACATCTGTTGGTGTTATGTCTATTTTATTAATATTGTCCATAAATATTATGAAAAGTAAAGGTGATAATACACAACCTTGTCTTACTCCTGATGTTACTGGGAACCAGTCTGCGATGCCAGCTCTTGTTCTAATGGCGCTTTCACTTTGTCTATAAATAGCCCTAACACAATCTAAAATTGTTCCATTTATACCGTAGTTTTCAAGAACTTTCCATAATAAATTTCGAAAATCGATCCCGGAAATCATTGCAAATACATTTGAATGACACCTTAGCAACTCTACGTATAGCTTTATCTTTGTGACAGACTGATATATCCTGATAACGTCAATATACTATTGGCTAACTAACTCTCGTCACTGTCACATATCGGATTTCAACAGTGCGGAGCACGTTTGCTACTATTTCTGGTTGCTTTATCAAAGTGTTTGGTGTTTAGCTGATACAGAGACTGTAACTTTGTTCAAAGATTTCATTTTTTAAGCTCAGTGAAACGGAGGGTAAGTAAGAATGTACCCACTACAGAAGTATATCTCTAGACTTCACTTCTTTCACTTCTCTATCTCGACAGGAGGCCACAGGTGGAAAGGGTGTGGACGTCATCCTGGAAATGTTGGCCAATGTCAACCTGGACAAAGACTTAGACATCGTCGCCCTCTGGGGCCGGGTTGTGGTAAGTCTTGAACCTCATCGTAGCGCACCTCCATCTTCTTTCTTTGTGCAGGAGTTTAAATATGTGGTCAGAGAGTGTATTGTTGTTTCTGATTCACAGCAGCTTTGGAACACAAGGCAGCGAATTAGGTAAAGCGTCCCATCAATCAGATCCTGTCACTGCAATAAAGGTTGTCTGCAAAGAAACCCCCACAAACAACTGCATGACCATTTAGCTAAAGTGCCAAGTGTATACAATGAAGTGGGTGTTATGTCATTCAGTGGGGCTTCTTTTACTTGCTGTCTGGTCACAAGGAAAGTAACTCTGTTTTGTAACTTCCACTTGCTGCGTGATCCTATGGGAATTAACTCAGTCGTGTAATTCGAACACTTGCCGTCTGGAGATTGGGAACAGACTGGACACTGGCTAAAACCTTGAGACATCTCTCCTACCCACAGACTGGACACTGGCTAAAACCTTGAGACATCTCTACTACTCAAAGACTGGACACTGACTCAAACCGTGAGACATTTCTCCTAGCCACTGACTGGATACTGACTCAAACCTTGAGACATCTCTCCAAACCATTGACTGGACACTGGACAAACCCTTGAGACATCTCTTCTTGCCACTGACTGGACACTGGACAAACCCTTGAGACATCTCTCTTCCTCACAGACTGGACACTTGAGACATTTCTTCTAGTCACTGAGTGGCTGAGTTACAAGGGCCAGCATACCCTTTTGCGGGTGCACAGATCAGGTCCTTGTCATGCACACTGCCAGGGTTCCCTCTAGCAAGCGTGGAGTAGAGGTCAGGTCCAGTATATCTCTTATCCACACTGGGCTGCAGGTGAATTTGCAGTAGTATAACTATGTTATACAGTTAGACAGGCTTTCTGGGTTTTGCTCCCGTTTGATTCTCGTACTTGAGGTGATAATCCCATGGACAACGATTCTAGAGAGAAACACATACCCCAGCCAGTAAGGTAGAGTTCTGCCACACAGCTTTTGTAGAACTGGTAGTTATGTACCCCAGCTTTTAGGGAACTAGTAGTTCTCTCCACAGCTTTTGAGGATCTGGTAGTTCGGTACCACTGCTTTTGAAGAATATGTGTTTCTAAAATACAGCTTTTGGTTAACTGGTAGTTCTGTATCACATCTTTTAAGGAACCAGCAATTCTGTACCACAGCTTTTGAGGAACTGGTATCGTTGTAATCCTACTTTTGGAGAACTGGTAGTTTTGAACCACAGCTTTTTGGGGAACTGATAGTTTTTACCAAAGCTTTTGGGGAACTGATAGTTTTTACCAAAGCTTTTGGGAAACTGACAGTTTTGTACCACAACTTTTGGGATGGGACTTCTATACTAAAGCTTTTAGAAATCTATTAGTTCTGTGCCACAGCTTTTGGGAAACTGGTAGTTCGGTGCCACAGCTTTTGAAGAACTGGTAGTTCTGTGCCACAGTTTTTGGGGAACTGGTAGTCCAATACCACAGCTTTTTGGGGACATGGTAGTTCTGTACTACACTTTTTGGGGACCTGGTAGTTCTGAACTACAGTTTTTTTTTTTTTTTTTTTTTTTTTTTTTTTTTTTTTTTTTTTGGGGGGGGGGGGGGGGGGGGGGGGGGGGGGGGGTGATCTGGTAGTTCTCTGTCGCAGTTTTGGGGGAACTGGTAGTTCTATAATTCAGCTTTTCGGGACCTAGTAGTTCGGTCCCACAGCTTTTGTAGACATGGTAGTTCTGTACCACAGCTTTTGAGGACCGGGTAGTTCTGTACCACATCTTTTGGGAAACTGGTAGTTCTGTACCACCGTTTTGGGGGACCTGGTAGTTCTGTGCCACAGGCCACAAAAGAAATAGTATTACATCGACTTCACGCCTAAACACGTCACCCCGGGGTGGAAGACGGGGAAGGGGGTCAGTTTGTTGGTCAACAACGGTAGCATCTCAAATGTTTGCTGTATCCTCTGGGTTTTCAATAGAACAAATCATGTCTGTAGGCTGTTTGGATGACTGCCCAGGCTAACTGTATATACACATAAAGCTACACCAAGAAAATTAAATGGGTCACCAGCAATGGCAGATTTACCGTGGTTGCAACAAAGGATAAATCTCATCAGTCCATGTCCTTGCCGGTAGAGAACTTTGTCCTTTTATGATTTTACTAAAATGCCTTGTCATCAACGAGATGTAAGTATCGTATGTTATAGACCAGTTATCCTGTCATTGTTGCTATCATGTCTAAATCATAGACTAGTTGTCTTGTATTTGTTGCTGTCGTGTGTACATCCTGGAGCACATGTCTCGTCTCTGTGGCTTCTTCTTCTCTTCCACCATGTACCTCAATGAAGTGTCAGGGGGAGATGTAATGTTCGTTTATGAGCTCTGTCAAGAGCACTTTTATAACTGATGTTCATTTCTGTAAGGCCATCTAATGCCATCACTCCATATTTTCCGAGGTCTTCCACTCGCTCTATACCCGTTGTAACGTTTTAGTGTGGCTCGCAGTGGCAGATAGTGCCACGGCATTCTTCTTAGGTTTCCAAACCACACTATTTGTTGTTCTTTGATGACCTGTAAGACTGGCTTTATTCCTAGCATTCGTCTGATTGCGTGATTTCGTATTCTGGCTTTCCTTAACACTCCTCCAGCTGTGGCAGTGTCCTGCCTGGATAGTCGTCCAGGTTGATGTTTAAGACCATGTATGTGTAGTGTTGGTGTTGATGCAATTGCATCTCAATATCCTACATAACAGTACAAAGGCCATTCATTCCCAGCGCTTCGCCGTACTTTCATAACCCGTGAATATCAATCTAACGTCCATTTATTTTCCGGCACAAGATGAAGTCTAACCCCTTACCCACCATGATGAAAACAACCACAAGTGCCTACGTTTTTATGTGTCCCGTCTCACGTCACGTCTTCCCATATAATCTCGCTTATTCTTAAAATACTCTCTCTCTCTCTCTCTGGCGCACTGTACTCTGGGTCCCCTGCTACTCATATAATTGCCCCTTCTACTGATGAAATATTGCCTGTCTGTCTGTCCCGGACCATTTCTTTCTAATCAAGCATGTCGTATGATATTAAGTTTCCTGCACCTGTTCCTCAGAAGTAGAGACATCACCCTGTAACATATCCGCCCTTACCCAATTAAAAATAAATTTCTTTTCCCATAAACATTTTACTAGTAAACAATTATTTATATGAATGTTCCAAGATTTACTATTTGATATTCATCATCATTTCCTCTGATCTCCACAGTTCACAACAATTGATATTTCTCTTGTCCGTTTTAATAGTTTCCTCCCTTTACAATGGGATCTTCTTGCTTCCTCAGCACAGTATTTTAATGGCCATCTATAAATCTATAAATGCTTGGAGAGTCGTGACCTCTGCTCTATGTGCCGCACTCGACACAAGAGGAAAGACTAACTAACTAATAAATCTTCAGTCATTGACAAAGTGACATACTTCGCCTAATCTTGTTGCCTTTATATCCTTACTTCGAAAATCATCCTTAGTGACTTAGGCAATAATCAAATCTTAACTAATGCACTACTCCTGGTCTCTCTTCTTCTTGTATCGCACGTTTGAGACCTCCTAATTGTCACTTCTCATTGGTTAATTATTTAATAATAACATCCAACAATTATTTCATCACAATAATATTAAATAATACACGATACCATACTCAGTGCCATCCCCTAAATAAACTTTATAGCTATAATTCAATCTCAGGTTCGATAGATCTGTCGCCTTTCACGAAGTCCTAACTGCACTAATTATTTTTATCCTTGACATAATTCGAACCACGTCATAGATGGAAGCGTATAGTATCACATCCTCCATTTCACGTCTTAGTTATCAATATTCTCGGCAATACAAGATATAACCTTATAACAATAACTCCAACCTAATAAAGGAAATACACAGTCAGATTTCCAATCCGGGAAATAATAACATAATATCCGAAATCCTCCGTCACGATAAAATAGTAATCTACATCCTCTACATTTTAACACATAGATTTCATTGTTCGCAAAGAATCACACTATCACTCAGTTCACCGACAGTTGCAGATAATATGTTTCTGGCTTGTCCTTGGCTTCAAGACTCCTCGCAGCATCCGAACTGGGCATTGTCACCATCTCAATGCTGTGTGCTTCTCTACAGGAGTCAGGTTTTGATGCTTATGAATTTCATCTTTAGTTTGGACCAGTATATATCTCTCCTTCTTATGTATACTAATATAATGACGCTTGCCAAGGTACATAATTAGTTCTACTACTCTATTCATGTGAGTTTTCGAAGTAGTGTGGTTAAGTTCTTCGAGTTGCTGTAATTCATGGACGAGTTGTTTCAAATCGATTATCTTAATTTTCTTAGGCGAACTTTGATCTCCTGTAAATAGTTCTTCTTGTTTGTTTGTTTGTTTGTTTGTTTTAGTATCCAGAAGCCATGAGTTGTTAACCCTTAGGCTCGGTATTATGGACATCGCAACCTTTCGGCCTTGATTCCATTGTAAATACCGTAAATCTGGGAGAAAATGTGGCTTTCCTGCCTACCCCCGGGATTGAACCCGGACCACAAGGAGTACGTCACCAGGTCTCCGCGAAATCCGGTTTAGCCAATTCCGCTAGAGAGCCGGGCAATAGTTCTTCTTCTGTTTCACTGATGATAAAGTCGTCACTATCATCAGTGTCTTCTTCTGGTGGTACTGCATAAGTTGACTTCCTAATAGGTCTTTGCATGGTCTCCTTTGCTAGTTTATTTACAGTTGAAGCATCTAGTCTCTATTGTTGGACATGAGCCTTGGCTATATATCCGGTAATCTGGTTCTTGATTAGGTAGGTCACTGGACCTAACCTTTCCAAAACAAAGTATCCAGACATCCATCGGTTGTCAAACTTGGATTCTCTGACGTGCATCTTATAATACATTCTGTCTCATATTTCAAATTCTTAAAGTTTAGCATTCTTGTTGGCATATTTATCTTTTCTAATGAAGGC